TGGTTATTCCTCATTCAGTAACCTTTTCTAGGTTACAACATGCATGCACACACACCACATTTTTCGTTATCCATCTGAAGAAGCCATATAGGCGAAATGCATTATCGAACATTATATGAGCTATTTTGTTATTTTTGATCACGTTTGCATTCATCACAGCCAGCATCAGTGTTTAAAGCTCAAACAAAGACGGTGCATCAATCTTAAAAAACGGGCGAAGTCATAAGATGGACGAAGACATCGGAAAATTCCTTCGAATATCTACAGTACTCCAGTATGCACATCCAGGACAATCGCTATCGTTTTCCTGGATGTTGCAATGTTTTTATATATATATATATATATATATATATATATATATATATATATATATATATATGTTTGTGTGTGTTGGTAAGTATGTCTGTGTAAGTATCTCAGCACACTTCATAAACTACGCATTTATATACAGTTGCATATATTTTAACCCGTAATGCACACATCACTTTGCAAAGTTTATGACTAATCATAAAAGAGTAGTTAATTAGCAATTAAACTAAGCTTTCACTTAACTCATTAAATAATTGGCAAAATTTATCCTTACGGTAATCTACCACTCAGTTTACGATTGACTTAGATAGCATTTAATTGCAGATTTTAAAATCAGGCTGTTTGAATTAAAATACCAAACGCATAATCATAAAGTTGATTTGAATGCGAACTCATTGCATGCAAACATATTTGTGAGAGCAGGCTAAGTAAGATTTTATTATGCAAGTCAATGATTTCACAATAAAAGTTGTATTAACTAAATGATTTTGAAACACATTATCAGGACATATATTTTTATGAGCAATATATCGTGTGTCTCTCAATTTATATATATATATATATATATATATATATATATGCTCATTTAAAAATACTCATAATAATCTTTTTATTTGCATCAGGTTTGTTTTTGCAAGCCAAGGGCCACATTAATTTGTATTTATAAATAGATCCAAAAGATATGTGCCAAAAAATAATTTACTTGATAAACCCAATACCCCACGCACCTATAGTCTCTTTTTCTATCATGCACTTCTTATATTTATCGCGTCCATTCAGAAAGTGGGTGATCTGGCTCTTCTTATAAATTGTGGCCCATAATAATTTTTCTACTTCCGTCTGCCGTTCCACTCACACAACCGCGTCAGATAGATGGCTCGCTGCCTTCCCCTCTCTATCTTGCTCAATATGCCCTGTGGTTTCCAAGCCCGCCTTCCTCATTATTTGTCAAAAGGAATTTCAGCTGTTTCTTCCTGATTTTGAGTATGTGTTCTTTTTGTCACCATTTTCTTAAAGATTTCCTCGTTGCATACTCGCTCCGTCCATGGAATTCTCAGTATCCTTTTGTAGAACCACATTTCTGTTTCCACCAGTTTTCTTCACATCCGTCCCGCATTCACTGATATATATTAGGATGGATATTGCATAGCAAGTCAGCGTTCTTTTCTTTGTTTATAACGTTTTTTTTAATGTTTTTCAGCACTTTGCTTAGCTTTTGAAAGGCATCTTTCGTTAGTCCAATGCATGCTCGGGTTTCGGTGTCTGCCCTCTGTCAAAAAACTTCCCTGCAATTATGTACACTTGGTTTAAAAGTGTTTTTTTTTTCTGAGTAATCAAGTGAATACAGGTTCGATTCCTGTCGGGAGACACGTGTTCTTTAGTAGGACTTCTTAATCTCTAGGCCGGCAGACATTAATTTCATTGTATTAAAATAGGATGTTGATACAAACATGTGTATTCAGTAGATATAAACATAGTAATAAAAGCTATAGACTCGTAACAATCATCATCATCTTGCGGCCTCAGCCGAGATTGAACTCACCAATACTTTGATTGGTGTAGTTCATAATCTTGTCAAATAGCTGAATTCTTGATGCTTCGCTAGGGCTATCAAGGGTGTTTTTTATCGTGACACCATCACTAAATGGATTGCCAACCAAGGCTCAGAGAGACTCCATTCACCCTCCTCTAAGAGCAGGTTTGAATTCAGAGTTTTCCTTTTCCTAGACCAGTTGCCATCCAAGGCTATAGAACCCAGTCTGTCCTGCTATTTACCCATAGCTGGAGGGAGAAGAAAGAGGATTCACACCTTTCCCAAGGGTGTCAGCACGTAAGTGAATGTAATGGATTCGACTGGAATTCGAACTCGGCTCTCCGAACAAAACGACGGATAAAATTCCAAGCTATTGCTTGTTAGACACACATTGTAAGCTCTACTCTCACTGAGTGTCTAACTAGTTGGAGGGAGTTACAAATAGGTCTTTCCAAAACAGATGGAACCTATCATAAAAATTCAAAACGAGAATTGCATTTAAATTTTTTGATTATTGTAGTTATCAGAGAAGAAGAAATAGGAAGTGAGTTCCATAGTTGGGAAATGCTAGAAAAAACTGTTAGAGTAAAAATGACGGTTGCATCTAGCTAGTTCAACAGTAAAATGGTGAGTACTAGTTACCAATTTAGTAGCACACTTAAATTCATGTAGTCGGGAACAGGGCAAAAAGCTCGTCCAAGCAGGTACCATGAAAATATTTGTAGAACAGACAGAAGGAAGCTATGTGACGTCGGTAAGAGTGTGACTGGCGACCAAGTGCCTGGCCAGGATAGATTGCACTGCAGACCATTCTCTGGATTTTGTCAAGAATCTCAAGATGCATAGTAGGGGCACCAGACCAAATATGGCAACTGTATTCAATATATGGCGAATGGTACATTTATAAATGTGCAAGACGAGAAAAATCTTTCTGGCACGACACAGCGAACCAAACATTCCTTGCAGCAAATGTAGCAATTGACCCGATATAGTATTTCCACTTTACGTCAATGCAAAAAGTAAGCCCCAAAACGTTGTAGAATTCTGCTCTCCTAGAGTTCAACATCAGCCTTCTTGATGGTAGGCAGAAAAAAGTTCTGCGTGACGACTAAATGAAAGCAGTTTTTCTTTAGAGTTGTTGAAATTTATAAACCATTTTTTGCCTTAGTTAACCAGATTGGACTTCATTTTCAAGAGTAGTTGCTATTGAGACAAGTGTAAATGATCGTGTCATCTGCATAAATACCTATTTGGGAACTGATGAGGAAGATCATCGATGAAGATCAGAAATAGAATAGGCCTAAGGATAGTGCCCTATAGGACCCCTGCGTTAGTATGAAACGATCTGCAAATACAACCGTTGTTAAGTGAAGAAAAAGTTATTTGACCAGAGCGGAATTTTTCAGCTATAGCACGTGGAAAGGTTACCATAACGTTGTGATAACGTCGTAGATGAGCTGATAACTTGGTATCAGTAATATAGTTGATTGAAACGTTACAGTAACATCGACACAGATGTCACATATATCCCAACCAAAATACAACTGTCGACAAAGTTACAAGAATGTTCCGTCTTATTTGTGTATTAATCATTTAGATCAAACATTATATCGTAAAAAGGTCATATAAAGACTCATTTTATATGACGATTCAGTCAATACAAGTCTCGAGAGCAATTCAATGTAGCGGGATACGGTTTAAATAACTATGATGAATGAGGTATGTGATATGAATGAAAGACGATCTGGTAAAAAGTGACAATTATGGGGATAAGAAGAAGAGATAATGGCTGACCTTTGAAGTTAAGGTTATAGTGTTCAGCGAAGCATCCCCGTGGGAATGTGTTCCACAAAGTAGCATTTGTTGGGGAAAACAGCATTCTGATGGGAACTTTCTCCTTACATATGAAATACAAAGGAAATGAGGGTGATTCGACTCTGTGGAACTAGTATGGCGTGTCCTAGTGGTAAAGATCTGAATTGGGGGAACGAAAGGACAGAGGTCATCTGAATATTCGCCATAGAAATAGAGATAGAGTTGCATCAGTGTAAAAGAGGGGGACGCGTGAAGAATCATTTTTTTCTAAAGAAGACCACATAAATATTTTATTTAATTTTTAAAGTGAGTATTGTTTAGCTCCAGCCCAGATATTGCTACAACACTGTTTAATTAATTTGACGAGTCAGGCGACGTGTGATACTATTTGTCGTTGTCACGGTAAAACGAAAGAAAGTTTTGTTAAAACATAAGAAAGTATGTTCGATCTTAGCTGCCTTATGATCAAACTTAAATCATAACGTGGGATAAGGTTAACTCTGGATTGAAGCGGTCACTTCAGCGACCAGCCGCGGTGTTGGAAGTCTTGGACGGCCGGCTAGGGTGTTGTACGATTACATACGAACTTACTACTGCTCACACACACACACACACACACATATATATATATATATATATATATATATATATATAGAGTGAATATAGAAGTCAACATTATGGAGGCGGCAGTCTGTTTCATGCTAGACGCAATAGTCAGGCCTGACGATTGCGTCCAACATGAAACAGACTGTCGCCCTAAGTGTTGACTTTATGTTCACTTTATATATATATATATATATATATATATATATATATATATATTGACTTGCCAAAAGTCATGGAATGAGTGCTTGACATCATTTAGGTCTGCTACTGTGCTGAAAAAGTGCAGGAAATCGATGTAGCATTGATTTCAGAAATGGTCCTACGACCTCTGGGGACATGTTGAACATCTCAGTAAGTGTCCAGAGTATCTCGATATGGGTATTAATTTCCCGGGGATATGCCATGAAGTGACCATCACGGCATTTCAACTAATCTACTAGGTCATGGGATAATTTTATTATTTTGATAAAAAATGTACAGAACACAAAGAAAGAAACGTAAAAAGTGATTTTGTCCAGAGAAATAGAGTAAGCGAAAAAGAGAATAAAGAAAAGGCAATAAGAATGAAAACCAGGAATTGGAAAAGAAAGAATGAAAGAAAAAAGAAATAAACTATATAACTGGAAAAGAAAGAAAGAAAGAAAGCATTGATTAAGCATTGATAAAGCAGAAAGAACCACGAATTTGGAACTTAAATAAATAATGAGAAAGCAGAATGAAAGAAAGCAAGAAAGACAGAAAGAAAAACAGAAAGAAAGAATCAAATTTGATAAAGAAAGAAAGAAAGAAAGAAAGAAAGAAAGAAAGAAAGAAAGAAAGAACCTGAGAAATGGAATATTTGGAAATAGAAAGAAAGAAAGAAAGAAAGAAAGAAAGAAAGAAAGAAAGAACCTGGGAAATGGAATATTTGGAAATAGAAAGAAAGAAAGAAAGAAAGAAAGAAAGAAAGAAAGAAAGAAAGAACCTGGGAAATGGAAAGAAATAGAAAGAAAGAAAAAAAGAAAGAAAGAAAGAACCTGGGAAATGGAATATTTGGAAAAAGAAAGAAAGAAAGAAAAAAAAAGAAAGAAAGAAAGAAAGAAAAAAGAAAGAAAGAAAACCTGGTAAATAAAATGGAATATAATTGAAAGAAAAAATAAAGCAGAAGAAATTTGAAAAAAAAACACAAAGAAAGAAAAAAGAAAGAACCAAAAAAGAAAAGAAAAAACAATAATTGAAAAGAAAGAAAAGAAAAAAGAAAATGAAAAAAGAAAGAAAAAAGAACCTACGAAGTGTATTTCTCTCAAATAAAATTTACACTTTCAAAATCAAAAGAGAAGAAAAAGAAGGTTTGGGCAAAGAAAGATCTAAAAAAAATGTTGAAATCAGGTAGAGATACTGACTCTCAATATTAAAAACGACCTTGAAAGAAATGGGATAACGAAAGCTTTAATCGAAAGAACTTTATTTCACATCTGCCTTAGAAAACGGTGGAATTTGAAATAAAAAACATGATTTCATAAAGCAGTTTTTTTTACGCTTATTTCCTTATATTTTGCGTTGTATCGTTCTAGGTTAAGTTTGAAAGAAAGAAAAAAAAAAAAAAGAAAAAGAAAGAAAGAAAGAAATGATTATGTAATTTGAAAGAAAGAAAAGAAAGAAAAAGGCAAGAAAATTATGTAATTTGAAAAGAAAGAAAAGGCTAAAAGAAAAAAGAAGAATATTTGAATTGTCGAAGATGACAAGTAAAGATATTACATGATGAAATAAGAAATTTTCATAACTGTTTTGACCACCAGATTAAGCGAATGTTTTATTTTCTCCTTTTCTTATTTTCTCATTGAAAACAAACAAGCCTACGCTTTTTTTTTATCAAGGTTTCTTTTTTTTTAATTTATTTTCATCTTTATTTTATTTTGTAGTCTTTCATTCTGACGTCGTCTTTCTAGCCTGTTATTTTTTTTTCTATGTTTGTTGTTTTGCTTCCTAATTCAGATAAAACTTCATTTCCCCGCAAGACATCAAAACAAAGCAGAACCCACACGAGATTTAGATAATTCTGAACTAAAGCCATTAGTTTGCCCGCTGGCTTTCACTGATGTTTAAAAAAGAGCATGATATTGACATGGCCAATGTGGTGTTGGATGTAGAAAGGGTCGCGTTTCCCCGTCTCTTTTTTTCGTTTGTTTTGGAATCTGCTTCACGCTATCATGAAGAACAATGATGCTCCGTTGGTTATACATCAATCTCAGTATTTTCTTTTGAATTGTTATTATTTTTTGGTTTTCTTTTGATTCGATTTCTTTATAAAAAAAAAAAAAGAATTAATCTTAAGTGCTACGATCGCCATTGTTTTCTTCCCTCTAATACCGCGTGAGATGTGGTGTTCCTTCCTTCCAACAGTATCATCTTTCTTTTTAGGTGCTTTTCAGTTCCTTCTTTACCCCTTTCTTTCTCGTTGTCTTTCTTCTGGCAAATACCTTTACACATTTAAAACAATGTACTTTGTTTTTTTTTCTCTTCTTCTCCTTTATTTTTCATTTACTTCCATGTTTTTCTTTCTTTTTCTACGTCTTTTTCATTCTTTTATTTTTCTTCTTATCCTGTCTCTTTATTTTAATAAAGAGATATGAACACTTTGTACATGACTGCCATTTTGTCTTTTTTATTCTTTTATTAGAGGCGGTCAGAGTGTAACACTTAATGGCGCGGGAAGTGAATACGGCATACCGATTTCAAGTCACGCTCGATTCTGTTTCATTTGCTTCACACTAATGAACTTGAAAAAAAGACATAAATCCAGCTACGACTAAGTTTTCTTGCTTCGAGGTTACAACCAAAATAGGAGAATAAAAACTGTGAATTCAGAACAAACCTAAAAGGGATGGGTTCCGTCAGGCTATAATACTCATGACACATCACTGCTGCTATGGTTGCAGTACACGGGGTTCCCTTGCGACCCTGATTGATTAAGGGACTCCTGACGTGAGGATTCCTTCGATTTTCTATCCCAGCGCTTTTTTCTCTTTCTTTCTTTTCTTCTTTTTTCTTTCTTTCTTCAAACTTTCTTTCTTTCTTTCTTTCTTTAAATGAGTTTACTTCTTTTGTTTTATTTTTGTCCTTAATAGTCTTTCTTTCTTGTTGTCTCATTCCTTCTTTCTTTCCTTCGTTTTTTTTCCTTTTCCAGCGTCTTTTCATTAAATATAAATACACATGCATACTCACGCAAACACACACGCAAACACACACACACACAAACACAAACACACGTGTGTGTGTGTGTGTGTGTGTGTGTGTGCAAGAAACCTAAAGAAAACCTCTGGTCGAAAACACAAGAGTTTTATGTAAATCACATAACCAAAAACATCTCGCTATGAGAGTAGCCATATGCATCAAACATCTCACCCCCACCATCAACCCCACCTTGTTTAACAATGGGAGTGGGGTCCCTGAAAAATCTTTAACGAAATCGCTCACTAGAATTGCCGTCATGCCCGCTACGTGAAGGTTCGGAATGAACGCTCGTACCAGTATTCAAAAATACACAAATAATACATCTCACGCAAGAAACTAACAACACCAAAACAAAACCCTCTTGAAAATGGCTAATGAAGTGACTTATAGCGCTTGAGACAATGGACGCTATGGACAGTTTTACTACTCCCTCAATGCCACCAAACGGAAAATGCTGGAAAAAAAAACTAAATAAAAAATTAATAAAATTTTCATTGTCCGTCAGATTCAACGAAAGATATTTAAAAGAAAGGTTGCTGCCCAAATATACATTAATCATATATATATATATATATATATATATATATATATATATAAGATCTTAAATTTTATAGGCTTTAATTCATATTGAGTACCCTTTGTTAGCAGCTGCTCTATAGTTGTATATAACACACACACACACACACACACACACACACATATATATATATATATATATATATATATATATATATATATATATATATATATATATATATATATATATATATATATAGCTTCCCTGAACTGAGTCATTGTCGTGTTTATTCACAGAGTAAATACGTAAAAATTCGCCTTTCTTTTCAATTGTACGCCGATGGCTTAGGGGACATATCTCCGACTGCCAAATCAGTCTGGTTTCGATCCCGGCTTGAAACAATCGGATGTCTAACCACACTGATGAAAACAGTCTGTGGATGACAATATATATTGTTAAGACGATTTTCTTTCACATTCTCTGATCATACGACAGGTTCAAGAAAATGTCGAATAACCTTTTGCAGTAAAAATGAATAATGAACATTGTCAGTGAAATTGAATACATGTTTAAATTTTCGACAAGATAAGAAATGCCGCATTGATCGAAACAAATGATATTGATTATTATTTGTTTCTTGCGGGTCTTGTGAATATAGCATGTGAGGAAGGATTTTCCCTTCGCAATAACGCTTTTCGGATCAAGTGATCAACGTTTGAACGAGAATCGTCATGCAACACTATAACCTCCCACCTTCTCTCTGTTCTGTAGATGGTATTTTTCTTCAATCCCAGCACTGAAACTTCGAAAGTGACAACAATAGCACACTTTCAAAAGGCTTCAGCACTTAGTTCGCCTTTCATATCCCGCCAAATACAACGAAATATTTTTTTCAAAGAGGTTAACTTTTACTGATGATGCTACTTGCTGTGCCGGTGTAACAGTACAAATTAACCCCACTCAGAATATATCCTGGTATATTTTAGCCTAGTTCAGAATAATAACTGGTATAGGCTTGGAGTTAGCCTATTTCATATTAGGCTATTCGAAAAAATAATTATTTATTAAAGTCTTTTATTCTTGAATCAGTCCATTCAAATAGTGTTTAAATCAGCCAAAATTCGAATACTGAATATCTATACATTGCTTTCATAGAATTACAAGCTTGTTTATGCCTTTACGATAAAACTCTAAAGGTTTCGAAGCCAAAGAACGGAATGTCTTTTGGCTTAAAATGTCTGTATCCTTGTTGTATCTCGTGTCTTCGAGAGAACAGCGATAAATAAATAAGGAAGAAAAATTCGTAGGTAAGTAATGAAATAGGTTTACTACACGAAGGTACACTTAGCAATTGACCTAATGCTAACTCAGTATTTACTCAAGCCCCCTCCCCCCAGAGCGGGATGTGGCACAAGGCCAGTTTAACGTGGTTTTTCCGAGCCCGTAAGCCCGGGCAAAAATTCCTAGTAGACCCCGTAATAACTACCTCCCCAGACAAGACTCAGCCCTTCGGCATAGCCTCGTCTGGGTTCCTCTCTGCCTGAAGGCAAAGAGTTTGACAAGCACTAAGAGCTTAGCCCGCGACTCAGACCTAATGCTAACTCGAGATTTATTGCTCGAAAATACAGCAATTGTGGCACAAGTCCAAAAAGGGGAAAAGTGTTGAGGTTGACCGTCACTAACTATCTTATACTTAGCTAATCCGATTAACGACCCATTCATTCCTTACAATCTACACATCCACCATAAAAACTCGTCCATCATCATTCAATTAGACCTAATGCTCACTCGGTATTTACCCGGGCTTCCGACAGAGCGGGATGTGGCACAAGGCCGGTTGAACGTGGGGTTTTTTCTGAACTCGTGGGTCCGGGCAAAAATTACCCGTCGACCCCGTAATAACGAGGTTGGGTTTATCTACCTCCCCAGACGAGACTATAGCCTTCAGCAAAGCCTCGTCTTGGTTCCTCTCAGTCTGAAGGCAGAGTGCTCAACAAGCACTAAGAGCTTAGCGCGCAGCTAAGACCTAATGCTAACTCTCCTCAACGCCGCTTATTTACATAAACGGACGATTTCATTCATTTATGTCCTATAATAACAATGCTTCAAAAAAGGGTAGTGAGTGAGATCAGAGGAATATGGTGGATGTGGCAAATTCTCGGATCCCAGGTAGGTGAGCTCCTGGAGTGTCATCCTGACAATATGTGTGCAAGTATTGTCATGATGCAGAATTGGATAATTTTTTGCTTAACTGAGTATGAATTTCATCCAGCTTTTGGCAGTAAGATTCGGTAGTGGTGCACTAGTTAGATTCAAGAAAGCTCTAATGGATGACAACCAATGACGAATCACCAGCCAGCCCCCATAATCGGCATAATCTTCTGTTGGTACAATTTCCACTTTGGAAAGTTTTGGTCATGATCAAGCCATTGAGCCGATCATTTACGATTGTCGTAAAGGATCCATTTCTCATAAATGTATCATTTGAATTTTGCAGATGCAACATCGAACACACTTCAAAATGTCGAACTCTTTCACTGGCATCATAGAGAGCACATTTATCCAGTTACTTGCCAATCTTCTTGAGATGGTCCGATATTGTAGAAATGCTGGCACCTATTATCCAAGACATTTCTCTGACACTTTGACATGGGTTTTATTCGACTAGTTGATTGTCAGTTGCCGATGGATGACCTCTATCGCCTTGATCTTCAAGATTCGTATCTCCACTGCAGATTCCTTCAGAAACTAACGCCATACTC